TCAGTCCCAACTGATGGCCTATAAAAAGGTGTCTCATGACCAACGTGTCACACAAGAAACATTTCATGATGGGTAAAAGCAAAGAGCTCTCGCAAGACCTTCACAACCTTATTGTTGCAAAACATACTGATGGCATTGGTTACAGAAGGATTTCTATACTCCTGAATGTTCCAGTGAGCACTGTTGGGGCCATAATCCAGAAGTGGAAAGAACATTGTAAGAACATTATTTTTCCATAAACCGGCCACGACCAGGTGCTCCTCGCAAGATTTCTGACAGAGGAGTGAAAAGAATTATCAGAAGAGTTGTCCAAGAGCCAAGGACCACTTGTGGAGAACTTCAGAAAGACCTGGAATTAGCATGTACAATTGTTTCTAAGAAAACAATAAGTAATGCACTCAACTGCCGTGGCCTATATACACGCTCACCACGCAAGACTCCATTGCTGAAGAAAAAGCATGTTCGTTTAAAGTTTGCTGCACAACATTTAGACAAGCCTGTGAAATACTGGGAGAATATAGTCTGGTCAGATGAGACCAAAATTGTACTCTTTGGATGCCATAATACACACCGTGTTTGGAGGTGCACATCACCCCAAAACATCAATTTGTTGAAGTTCAATTCTGTTAATGAATCTGCCTGTGATTAATTTCAGCTCAGGTTCTAACCTTCATCTCCAGGATGTTGGCGGTCTCCACAATGAACTCTCGACAGGCTTGTGGAGGCCATACGTCCTCTCCGGTCCAAATGTGAGCCAGAATATCTGACCTCTGAAAGACATCAGCATAAGAGCTTCCAACAGAGATACACAGAGTTTGAAAATGTGTGTGGAAATGTATTCAATAGCTGACTCTAAAGAGCTGGAGAAAAGCCAGGTACAGGTACAATGCAACCATATATTTGTCTTACCTGACAGATCCTGTCGAGTTCTCGCGCGAGCTCCATTATAAACAGCTGACTCTCTGTTAACGGCTCTTTCTTCACATGTTTCACTCTCTTCCGCGTCTCCTGCACAGACAGTTGCGATTTATGGGGTAACTAAGGCTCCACCACGGAATATAACGGCTAAACTTATAAATGTTATATTCATTTTTTTTTTCTGAAAGTCATGAACATCTCCACCACATCTCAATTGGATTATAATTGCTGACTAATTTCATAGCTAACATTTTATTTATACTAAATACACATAATTAAATAATATTTTCAGTTAAACTTGTGGAAAAGTGTAAAATAAATGATTAAATAATTTTTTTTACACTTTTCCCCAAGTTTAACAGTTACAGCTTGACTGAAAATTATTATATTCAAAATCTAATTCAAATATACATGTGATATTTTCCTTAATTTTCCTTATTTTCTTCATCTTACATCTAATTTTGTAGCAGGAAAAATTGTTGTGATAAAAATGATGCCACAACTAAACTAGTTTTAATAAAAGTCAACTCATCTGACATAAAAGCACCTGTAGTTGTGCCTCACACTTTATGTAGTCTATCCTAAATACATATTTAGTATATTAATTTTTCATATTAAATAATTAAATCATATTTCATAATTTCTTCATATGTTTTGACAAGTGTGCTTTGACTGTAAATAACTATATTCAGTATAAAAGTAACATATAAAAATATATTCTGTTCACAAGTGATATTTACCTTAATTTTCCTTATTTTCTTCATACGCCACATGTCTCACATTTCATTGTGTCTCATTGATAAACAAGTACACTACTTTATTAGTGGGAAATATTGTTGGTTGTGGTGTAAATGACGCCACAACTAAGTTTCTCCAAATTACTGAAAAAAATCCTCTGATGCAACAAATGAATGGATGAATGACCTACTGTACCTTCAGACGAAACTTGAGCTTCTTGGCTGGCTCAATGAGGAACTGAAGGCAATCTTTCATCATATTGGACAGCCTGATGTGACCCTATTAGAAGTCTGAAAGAGACGGAATGCAGAAAACAGCAAAAGAGGGAAAGAGAGAGATTTGAGTCGTTTACGATCAGTGTAACAGCTGAGAAAGATGGGAGGGGTTTGTAACAAGCCTTACTTTCAAAACTCAGCAAACTCAACACAGACTCAAGCTGCAACAACGCATTATTTTTTGATCACTCTGCGGCTCTGCTCCGATCAGCTCGTTACGACAGTGGGTCCAGGTCCAGAGAGACCCGAGGAAGCAGCGAGAGCACTTTTAATGGGTGTTTGGGGACAGAGTGGGATGTAATTGTGCTGAATCAGCACGTCTTCTCAGCGTTTCTCCAGCACACCCACATAACCTACCAGAGCACCTCGACACTCAGTCGATTCCTTATTCCAGCCCCAAATCTTCACAAACCAATGCTAAAATGTTGAAAATCAGCTTATAATATAGGCATACAACATGGCCCAACTATGAGACCACTAGTGAAATGGCTTCTATTTCACATTTTCTAATTTAATACAACATCTTTAATTACAAATTATATTATAATCATGACAATTTGAGACAAATGAAAATTTGAGAAACTTTTGACATTAAATGGAGTAAACCCAAACTTTATCATTTGGAAAATTTTCTTTCTTATTTTGTAAAAAACTGTACATGATGGAAAGTTTTTTATTGATATTTATGAAATAAGCATCATCAAATTAGGAAATATTAAGCCTTTTATTTTTTTATGGCCTTCTTTTTAAGATGCAGATCTTTGAATGATAAGCTTAAACACACCACCAGTTTGTCCAGCCAACAAAATAAATGAATTTATCTTGTGCACATACTTCAGGTATATTCACAATATTTCTTTGTTTTAAAATGTTTTCCTGTTTCTTTCCAGATTTAAATTAGCCCACATTTTCGATGTAGTCTTAGACTTCTGAATAGCATGTATTTTTTCAGGTTAACTGTACTTTATTTCCTGTTTTTAGACAATAAGAATGAAGAATAAAAGAGGTCTCCTATAAATAAGTTTGTACATTTACATATGCACTGATAAAAATGTATTGACACCATATGTCACAAATCCACACAACACTATAAAATTAAGTAACGTTCTTAATTTTATATTATTTTGGTGCACAATGTTCTCTTGTTTTCTGTTTGGGACAGTAGTGCAATGTCACACCAAAGAAACTACTTCAGCTTCCTTGCATTTATTTATGATTAACTGTACTTGTTGACTGAATGGACATGGCCAGACTCTGATAAGCTTTTATTAATGATCCGCTACATTCTGAAACTAAATTATGTGCCCAAATTAAATGCAATCATGTTCCTCTGGTGTGCAATATGTTTTATTTAGGCTCTAATTAACTCAGTCTCATTCATTTATGATCAAATAAAACTGCCGACTTAGACGAATGAACATGACTAATAAAGGAGATAAAAGTTTGTGCATTTACATCATGGTGCCCTGAGAAAAAATGCACTGCCATATAGATCACAAATTCCATACGTTGACTTCATTTTTGATCAGATATACCTTAAAGTATGTGCACAACATACATTCATTTTTTTTTGTTAGCTGGACAAACTGGTGGTGTGTTTAAGCTTATTATTCTAAAACCCAAACTTTCAGACTAGAGTTACATCCACCAAACTTGGCTCAAGACCTTCAGCCTGTGTTGACCTAATAAGCTTTCTTTTTTATATAACAGAAAGGACACAAGACATCAGCAGCACCCTAGAAGCAACCCAGAACTGCATAGCAACACCCTAGCAACGCCTCAGACACATTAGCAGCCACTCCATTAATCTGTATAACTGTATAAGTATTAATCAAACTGTATAACTCTCTGACTGTCTACGGCAAAGGTACTTATCAGGTTCTTCTGGTGTGCACTGCAGTGCGCACTTGTTTACAGCCTGGCAGATTGTTGGCATTGTCACACCACGTGTCAGGTCTGAACAAGGACAGATTAAAGAGGTCCTGCAGACACACAAACCACGTGAAGGAGCACAAGGTGCAGATCTCCCGAACCCACACTGATCCTTTAAGCGAATTAAACCAGTACAGCCCTGTGTGTATTTTTGAGGATGAGTGAGTAGGTGGCGTTGGACGTAGTTTGTAAAAAAAAAAAAAGCTGCTGAAGACTGACTCCTTCATTAAAATGCAAATATCATGTATTTGCATTTTATTAATAAAAATAAATATCCTAATAATAATAATTATTATTATTAAATACCATTGCTATTAATATAATAATGTCATGTGTTAATATGACCATTTAACTCTGCTTCTCAGAGCATTTAGAAAACCTAAATAATAGGCTATACTTATTCTTCCATTAGGTTTATTCAGAATGTAGCCTACGTTATTGCAGATGACAAAAAAAGCAGAAGATAAATGAAGACGTCACGGTACACTTCAAACTCAGAGAAGCGCAATGCAGTCATAATATTACGCAGGTGCACGCATATTCAAAAGTCATTAAACACAGCAGCAGCACCGTTGCTGATGACAGAATGAAAAGTTTACTAAGATGAAAGTCACATACCTTTCTATTTAACCTTTTGAAATATCCTCAGAAAGTTGTTTCGACATCACAGCCTCATCTGATGTTTGTGCATCTCGTTGCTCGTTGTCTGAATGGCCTCGCCTCAGCAGTCACGACAGGGGTGTGTGGTGAATCTCGTGGTGACCAATCAGCGTTCACACGTCTTGGTACTTTAGTTATTAGCTTCTTGTCGCGGAGTGATTAACGATCGTGTATTTCCGTAACGTTCCCGAACGACTCCTCGTATATTTCCGTTACATTTCCGAAATAAGACGAGTGCCTTCTCCTCAGCTTGTTATTTAAAAGACACCCAGCAGAGGACGCCGTTGTCTAACATTTCTTACATTATTTGCTCTAATTCTTTGACGCAGTTCTTAAAATTCTGTCTCAAGCCGAAATATGCATTTATATTATATTATTTGTAACCTTTATTTTTTTTTTATTAGTTTTTTTTCAACTGCTTACACACAAAATCTTTACTTGTCACACAATTTCTGAAACCTGACACTCAACCAGAACCACACACCAAATCTGCAAAACCATGCACTAATTCTTGGCCTTTGACTCAGTTTTCAATTTCATAAAACACTTTTTGCGCACACAATTCTCTATGTAACACACAAAAATCTAACAGGAATTAATATTATATCAAAGGTGTTTGCAAATGTTTGCTTTTGAGATGCGTTTGTGATATTTTGAACGCAGTGCTTCATTTTGCAAGAGATGTGAGGCATTTTGCATTTTGTGTGTGCAATTCTTGGATTTGTGTGTAAAGTTTTGAAAAAAAAAAAAAAAAAAAAAGTTTTGAAAATGTCTGTAAGCAATTGAAAAAAACTGCAATAAAAGAAAAACCTTTAGACTCTAAATAGCTTAGTTGCACTTACACAAACAGATTTAAAACTTAAAATACAAAACTTTATTAAAAATAGAAAGGACAACAAATATGTACAGATGAAAATAAATGCTGTTACGCATATGAGAAACAAAAAGCATTATCTCATTAACAGCCGAAAATGAACGCCCTGTCACTTTTAAATGATTTCGTACAAAAACGAGTAAAAAACAAAAAAACAACAAAACTTACTTGTTGTCCGTAACAACATTACAAAACAAACATAACTTCAATATTTGATCTTGCATAGATATTTGATTGGTTAGAGATAAAAGCAGCTATTACTGTTTTAAATAGCAGGAAGATCACAATATTTCGAAATGAATCAAATGCAATGAGAATGAGATATAAACATCTAGAACTAAATGAACAGAATCTTTGCATATTTGCAAGGGCACCGTTTTTTTTTTCTCTCTCTTTTTTTTTTTTTTTTTTTTACAAAACTCAACTTTAAAATCACAACTGAATATGAAATTCCAGTTTCTCTTTGTGATTTAAATTTCCATTTCTTCTTTTACTGAGGCAGTCAGTTGTTAAAAAAAATTATAATAATAATTCTGTAATGGTGTGCTAGTTTAAATACCTCAATTGTTTCTGGGAACTATTCTGGCACACCTCGAAACAAAAACTTTTGTGTTTTCTGACTTGAAAACAAGCAGTGCCCCACTGTTACACCTTTACAGAAATAGACAATAAAGAACACGACCCATTTACAGTCATACACAAGGAAACTGATAGCATAGATGTGACAATGCAGGTGCAAATTACTTAGTTGGAGAGGATTGTCCGAAGTACATTTCCTCCAACAAACACATGTAATCAGCTGACCTCGAAGTTAGCACTCACAACCGCACCCAACAAAAAAACAACAACAATATTGCAATGCTTTATGGCATTTTACAGGCTACATGAAGTCACTCACTCTAAAAAAAGCAGATGTTTCCAGTGAAAGAACAAGTTCCAGGTAATAGAAAGACTTTGGAAGGACCGGTTTTGAAATCTCTGGTCTTCGTTTCCAACCATCTTTAGGGTTCAGGTTAATCATAAGCACTAGATGAAGCCATTGTTACAGCAGTTTTGGGCAACTTTGGTCACACAGTCGTTTGATGGCTTCATCAGTTAAATGCAAAAGTGTTTAACAAGGAGAGCAGGTGTGGTTGTTTAATGCAGCTTATTATTACTGACGGCGGTCATAGATCTTAACCATTCGTTTAATATGGAAAAGCTTGTGGCGCAGTTTGCGACAAAGGTGCTTCTTGTTTTGATAATCTGGCATCTAAGCAGAGAGAATAAGGGAAAGAACACCTCATATTAACATCAAAAAAGCAGAGCATCTATTACTATGAACGTGAGTCAGATGTTTAGTCATACTTTAGTTTTATACCCATGACTCACCCGTTTTAGGTCTTTGAGATGATTATATTCCTCTGCTACAGCCTGCAACGTGAGATAAAAAAGAAAGTCATATGGATTTGAACAACAGGGAGGTGAAGTAGTCATCTGAAATGTTTCAGTCGCTCACCTGGTACTTGGACGAGCCCTCTTCAAGTGTGTCCAGCTCTCTGCTGAGCTTGTTTATCTGATCGCTGATGTCGTCCATTTCGGCGCACAGTTCCTTATAGGTCCTGAGGTCCGAGTCAAATTCTTTCTTGTACTCGTGTCGCTGGGTGTCAGACGTGATCTCTGGATACAGACTGATTGGGAAGGAAACAGAAAGCAGTTGGATGGCAGCTTGTATAATGAGCTTTAAAGTAGGCAAGATAATTAAGGTAAATAGTAATTTGGTAGTTTTTAAATAAACTTATCCAAAGAGATGGATATAGCTACAGACACTTTTTAGCAACAATCCCTTTGGAGCGACCTAGAGTTAAGCATCTTGATCAAAGCAACAATGGTGGTATTTCACGGATTAACGGCTGTGGAGTTTGAACTGACAACATTTCAGTTTCCACACCGCAGCAAAAAAAAACAAAAAACACCCACCATAAACCGAGTAAAGGTGCACACATTTACCGTTACAATCTGTCAGCAAAATCCAGTCATTTGAATAGGAATATGCACAATCAGTGAGGGCATAAATAGTCCCCAGAATGGTCTCTGGTATTTCAAATTGCACTAATTTGAAATTCCACCAATCACAAAATTTCGCTAATGTGAAATACTACCATTCACTAAAATTTTACTAATGTGAAACACCAAGATGTGCCAAAGTTTCACTAATGTGAAATACTACCATTCACCAAAATATTACTAATGTGAAACACCAAGATATTACTAATGTGAAACACCAAGATGTGCCAAAGTTTCACTAATGTGAAATACTACCATTCACCAAAATATTACTAATGTGAAACACCAAGATATTACTAATGTGAAACACCAAGATGTGCCAAAGTTTCACTAATGTGAAATACTACCATTCACCAAAATATTACTAATGTGAAACACCAAGATATTACTAATGTGAAACACCAAGATGTGCCAAAGTTTCACTAATGTGAAATACTACCATTCACCAAAATTTTGTTAATGTGAAATACTACCATTTGCCAAAATTGAACTAATGTGAAACACCAAGATGTGCCAAAGTTTCACTAATGTGAAATACGGTACTACCATTCACCAAAATATTACTAATGTGAAACACCAAGATATTACTAATGTGAAACACCAAGATGTGCCAAAGTTTCACTAATGTGAAATACGGTACTACCATTCACCAAAATATTACTAATGTGAAACACCAAGATATTACTAATGTGAAATACTATCATTTGCCAAAAATTCACTAATGTGAATGCAACTATTCATCAAAATTTAATGTAAAATACAACCATTTGCAGAAATTTCACAATGTGAAATAAAACCATTTGCCAAGAAATTCACTAATGTAAAATACAACCATTTAAAGAAATTTTGTTGATGTGAAATACCGTAATTCACAGAAATTCTAATGTGAAATACTACTATTCACCAAAAATTCACTAATTCAATACTTCATTTGCCATTTGTTTTTGCTAATATGAATTACCACTATTTGCAGAAACTCACCTAATGTGAAATATGTACCAGTATTCACTGAAATTTTGCTAATGTGACTATGCCTTAACTCCTTACTAAGGTCAACTTTTTACTAAGTGACCGCTCAAACTTTCAACCCTGTATTTTTCATTTGTGTCAGAAAACAGCAAAATAGTAAGAATATTTTAAAACGTATTCATAATGCAGTGAATACAAGTATTTTAGTCAAGTCACTATTATTTATATGGCGCTTTTTACAATGCAAATTGTGTCCAAGCAGCTTTACAGTATTAATCAGGGAAATAGTGTGTCGAAATAGTGTGCCGTTCTCCTCTGGCCAGACGAAACCAGCAGTTTAATTCTAGGTTGCAACAAAGTCAACATTACAAGTATTTTAACATTACAAGTATAACTAACATTATCAAAATTAATAAATGCTGAAAGAATATATAGTTAATTTTTACTGTTAAGTGTTGCATTTATATGTCATGTGTCCCCTGTAAGTTTATTGTTTGCAAAAAGATTTTCTTCTCATGGTCCAACAATGAGTGAAAGCAAACCACATCTGTTTTTTAACTCATCACAGCCAACCAAACAACACATGTAAACATGCACACATATGCAAAGATCTTTGACCCATTAACCCAAATTTAGTCTATTATGTTAGCATTATGTTAGATGCGTGCCAGAGATGATTATCTCCTACAGACTTCCTTGCTGTATCCAAGGGAATGCGCTACTAACCCTGGGCCTGCATGAACCACAACCAATTCTTACCGTGTCCATAGATCCTCGTCAAAATCGTTGGCAGTCTCTCCTCCCGTTGTGTACTCGGTTTCGTACTGGGACTCATCCAGCTCAGGGTTCCTCCTGCGTCTCTTGCCCCTGGAGGCGGACGGTTTGCGGATGGTGTCCGTCTGGTCGGAGGGGCTGGAGCTCACTTCTCCAGACGGGGATGTAGAATGAGATGGCTGGCTGAAAGAGCGCTCAGGGTAACTGTGGGTGGAAAAACTGTTACTACTTTATCCAAAAAGAGAAATGAGCAAACATTCATTCAAACACATTTGAGCAAGCAAATATTCTTCAAGATACAATATGACAATCTGAAAAAGAACACGTTTATCTGCCATGGAATTAAAATATAAAAAAAAAAATTATAATATCACAATTTTTTCTTACAATTGTGAGTTTACATCTTGCAACTATAACATTTTCTCGCA